TTAGCCTTTTGCTGGTTTTTCTTCACCTTCTTGTACTTCTCCTTCAGTTTTAAGTACTTTTCATCTTTGGTCCTGAAGGAGGAAGGAGCTTTAGAAGATGGCGTCGCAGTCTTCATTGATCTGCATTCACCTGCAAAATGTTTGGGCCGGTGACAGTTGTAGCAGACAGTTGAAGCCTTGTCTATTCTTTCAGACTTTGGCTTCTCCTTGAGGGATAGCTGAGGAGATCTGCGAAAATTGCTCTTACTGGCGAATCTCCTAAATGACTTAGTCAGGAGTGCAAGGAACTTATCAAAATCTGTTAAATCAGATTCTGGAATGTCCTCAGAAGAATCTATCTCCGTGATGACCACAGGAGGAAGAGAAGAAACAAAAGGGGTAGAAGAAGTTTCAACTGAAGAAGCTTCAGAGATCAAAGCTAAAGGAGAGCTTTTCATTTCCCTGGATTCTTTTACAAGATTTCTTTTCAGTTGACGAGATTGCTCATGGTTAAGCAGAATCCCGTATAAAGTAGAAAGAGAAAGAGTGGACATGTCATTTGACATCTTGAGACACATGGAAAAGGTGTCCTAAGACTCAGGATGGCATTCTAGAAACTTAGTTAAAGTTTTAGAATTATAATATTCTCTGCCGACATCCCTAAGATCAATAAGAAGGCAGTTAAATCTCTGATGTACTTCAGACAGCGTCTCAGACTTTCCACAGAGAAAGCTTTCATACTGTCTTACTAGATTGATCTTTCTRGTCTCTTGAACCTGAGTGGTTCCTTCATATTGAACACAAAGTGTGTCCCACATGGATTTAGAGGTTTTGAGTTTCGTCACTGAGTGATAAATCTCTTCAGGAAGAGACATAGCTATTATAGACAAAGCACGTGTGTCTATAGCTATCTTCTTCTTGTCCTCATCGCTCCACTGATGAGAAAGCTTTGGAATCTGTCGTTCAGGAATCGCAGTAGTCGTAGCTGTTGCTGGAACAGTCGGAGCAATAGCAAATGGAATATATGGTTCATTTTCTATATAATGTAGAATTTCAGGATCCACACCTTCCAGAAAGAGGGACATCCGGTTCTTCCAGAGACTAAAGTTGTCACGGACAAACCAGTGAGGTTTGGAAAGAGAGCCATTATCTTGTGTGTATGTGTGTTTGCAATTTGTAAACCTATTTGTAAGCGGTAAAGTTATCTAAGAAAGGAGATAAACTAATACAAAAAATAGCTAAACACAAGGAAAGAAAGAAAACACTGCTCTAATACCACTTGTTGGTCCCGTGAGGGTCTACAAAAAGAGAAACAGTTTGTAGAAGGGGGGGATGAATACAAACACAATATTTTTAAATTTAAAATATATATTGATAAAGAAGATCAATACAAATTTTACAAGATTGTTTGTGGAGAGATAACGTAGTAAAAACCTATCTAAACAATCTTAAGTTACACACAAATTCTTAGCAAATACAAGAAAAGAAATTGTTGTAGAGAAGATCCTTTACTTAAGCTTGAAAATGCTTGAAGTAAGAATTAGGGTTGGAGAGTGAGTTGTGCACACTCTGCATGGAGAAGAAACAATTATATTTATACACAGTGCATTAAATGGGCATTTAATGCAATATGGTAGGGTTAGAGTGCGTGTCAAACCTTAAGATGAAGACTTGTCCTTTGCTATAGTGAATAGTACAAAAGCACTATTCATGAGCAGACATCCTTACCTAAAGTTGGTGGACAATAGAGTCGACTAGTCAGCTCCGTACCATACCAACTTTCATAAGGGTATAGGTTTTGTCCTTTGTGTGCATAAGGACAAGACAACAACAATCGTGCTAAGCAAGCTTCCTTTGATCGCTGAATATTGGAATGACCTGAAGGTCTCATCATCATTCGTTGAAGCTTGAGCAGTCTTCACACATATGTAGACAGACTTATAATCACTGAATACCGCCTTAGATCACGTACTCGTCAGTCTCTAATCTTCAGTTTCAGTCTTCGACATTTGCTGAAAGTTTTTTGGTGTGAGTGTTGTCTTCTTGAAGTATTGTTGTCTCTGATAGAATTACAATGCAAGTTCTTCAGCTATCACTGAACATACTCAGTGAAGATCGCTGAAACTGAAAATATAGAAACATAAATACAACGTATAAGTGAAAAGGGATTATCATCAAATCACTGAGAAAGAGGACCAACACGAAGGCTTTGATACATATCCACAGAAATCTCAAAAGCTCAATGAAGACTCCAACACTCAAAGTCCAAAAAGAGATTTTCTTGACTCTGACTCTGAGCTAGAGAAAGACTTGAGTAAAGAGCATCTTGAGACAGAGACAATGATTCCAGGACCAAAAGTTGAAAAACTTCCAAATGGGATCCCAAAAAAATCTGTTCCAGCAATGGAGCAGAGGGAAAAGGTTCCCATTTGTCCTGATTTCATGGATATGTGTTTAAAAGCCAAGTCTTCTCTTGAGCTAGAATAGGAAAACAAGGCTATCAGAGCTAAAATATGCTACCTCTATGTCTAAGTCTCCCAAGTCTATACTTCAAAAGCCTATTAAGTTCACTCGGGAAGAGAAATAAAAATGGGTTTCTAACTTTGAAATTAGTTCCTCTGTTTCAGAGAGGCCTCTGAAGGCCAAAGGAGGAAAAAAGACGAAGAAAAGAAAGCAAGAGAAGATAAAGGCTGATTTCAATAAACAATCAAAACTAGATAGTGAGTTCATTCGAACAACTAAGGCTAGGAATGATTGTAATAATAAAAACATAAGTTTTATGAAACTAGTGAACCTTTTTGTCACCAAAATTGCATTCATAATTGCAAATGTCTATCTCTATTGCAGCAATTAAAGAAACATCTTTCTTGTCCTAACTGCCTTCTATCTCGATCACATAAAAGAAAAGCTAAAAGGACCTAGAAAAAGCAACCTCCCAAGGCCAAATCTGGCATGCCAGCCTATAGATTAGGCAAATTGGGTAATGAGGCACATCCTTCCCCTATGCAGAAATCTGAATCTCCAAAACCTAATCATAGAGGACCCATTATGAAATGGGTACCTAAAATTCTCTAATTTATTTTGCAAAAGCAGCATGTGCACATCTGGTACCTTGACTCTGGATGTTCAAGGCACATGACTGACAACAAAGAGTTGCTCTCCTATTTCAAAGACAAATCTGGAGGACGTGTAACTTTTTGGTGATAATATGCAAGGACAAATCAAAGGGTATGGAGATCTCCAAGAAGGTAAGGTTTCTGTCTTTAAGGTTGCTTATGCATCTAGGCTAAAGCATAATCTGCTCAGCATGAGTCAACTCTGTGATTCTGGCTATAATGTCAAGTTCCAAAAGGACTCTTTCTCATTAATGTAAGAATCAGGTCAATAGATGCTAAGAGCCAATTGTAAGGGAAACCTGTACCTTATGAACTTCTCACCAAGATATGATACAGAGACTCTCTGTCTCATATCTTGCAAGAGTGAAGAAGCTTGGCTCTGATATCACAAGCTATCTTATCTCAATTTTCCAAACATTGAGTAGCTTATTAAGAATAACTTGGTTGACGGACTACCAAATGTTGTTGATCCTCTCTCTTATTGATTTGATGATAATCCCTTTTATCTTTTGAAGTATTATGCTTCTGTTTTTTTCAGTTCCAGTGACCATCACTGAGTCTGTTCAGTGATCGCTGAAACATGCATTGTAAATCCTACAGCGACAACAATACTTAAAAAAAACTCACACCAAAGAACCTTCAGTGAATATCAAAGACCGAAACTTAAGATTAGTGACTGGCGCGTTTGTGATCTGAAACGGTATTCAGTGATTACAACTTGGTCAACATATGTGTGAAGACTGCTCAAGTCTCAACGAATTCTGAAGAGACCTCAGTGTTATTCCAACATTCAGCTATCAAATGAAGCTTGTTGTGCAAAATTGTTTTGTCGTGTCCTTCCACACACAAAGGACAAACTCATACCCTTTCTAGAGTATAGTACAGCACGGAGCCGAGTAGTTGACTCTAGTGCCCACCAACTCCACGAAAGGATGTCTGCTCATGAATAGACAATTGTACTAATCACTGTAGCAAATGACAAGTTTCCCTCTTAAATCTTGATGTGTGTTCCAACCCTTCTGATTTGCATTTAATGCAATGGATATAAATAGCTAAGTGCTCCCTCCATGCAAAACACGCATACACAAATATTACACTTCTATCTAAAGAACACATGCGTCGCTGAAACTATTCCCTCACTGATTCGACACTAAAATATCACTCGCAAATCATCGCTGAAACCATTCCCTCGTTGATCCGTCGCTCACAGTATCCCTTACAAATCCGTCATTGATTTCCGTCGTTGATCCGTCGCTGATAGCATTACCTACGAGCATTTGACCAACGGAGTATCAGCGACGGATGACCTTTTTAGCAACGAATTTGCGAGGGAAATTTCTCTCGCTGATACTCTGCATTTTTGTAGTGAATTTCGGTCATAATTTACTGTTTGTTTGTATGAACCTTCAACATTTTTTAAGTTTTACCCTTTTTTATATAATCATTTTGATTTTTTATTTCATTTGAACACAAACACTTAACTAGATTGTAAAATGAGTACCAAATTTTGAATCGATCAACCAACAACCCGACCCACCCGATTTTGAGTTAGATTGAATTATAGTTTTACTTAAGTTAGATCTGGTTAACATTTTCCAAACCGTTTTGAATTATTAAATCCATATACATTCCTACCACCAACCAAATAAAGGAAGTAAAACGGAAAAAGAGAGTATAATCGGGGCAGTTGGCTTTGATAAACGCAACTTTTAACTAAAAGGAGAAGGAACGATTGAACCTACACCACCTTCATCGTACGACTGCCACGTACTATTTCACCCTAACGTGTCAGTGTCTTTTGACGTAGGAACCCACTGTCAACATCCCCCATGATGTTCATAAATACTCCCTCCTCCCCTTCTTCCATTTTTCTCTCATCAAACATGACTCAAGAACATGCTATTGCTATTGCTACTACTCATCCACCCAAACATGACATGTCGTCCTCTTCCACCTTTCCCATCCATCTCAAGGTTCTCTATCTTTATTAATTTGTATTCATGAATCTTGATGATTTTAATTGTTTATATATAATTGATTTGTGGTTTTTGATGCAGTTCATTGACATCTGTTACAAAGTGAAGATAGAAAAGAACAGTAGCCACAATTTTTTTGGAACCATGTTGGGTGGAACTGATGATCATTCCATGACCCAAGAGCGGACCATCTTGAATGAAATCACCGGAATGGTGCACCCTGGCGAGCTGCTAGCCGTTCTGGGGCCATCGGGGAGTGGGAAGTCCACCCTTCTCAACGCACTCGCCGGCAGACTTCCCGGCCTCTACTTCACCGGATCAGTGCTTGCTAATGACCGGAAGCTGACAAAAGCAGTACTCCGACGAACTGGTTTTGTGACCCAAGATGATGTACTCTACCCCCACCTTACCGTCCGTGAAACGTTAATCTTCTGCGCCCTCCTCCGCCTCCCCAACAGTCTAACCCGCCGGGAGAAGACGGCTGTGGCGGATTCCGTGATCGCCGAGCTGGGGTTATCGAAATGCGAGAATACCATCATTGGGAATACATTCATCCGGGGGGTTTCCGGCGGGGAACGTAAGCGTGTGAGCATCGGACACGAGATGCTGGTAAACCCAAGCCTGTTGATACTGGACGAACCAACCTCAGGTCTGGACTCGACGGCGGCTCACCGGCTGGTCTCCACCCTGAGTGGGTTGGCACGCCAGAAAGGAAAGACGGTGGTGACGTCTGTTCACCAGCCGTCGAGCAGGGTGTTCCAGATGTTCGATACGGTGCTGGTGTTGTCGGAAGGAAGGTGCATTTACTTCGGAAAGGGATCGGAAACGATGAAGTACTTTGAGTCTATTGATTTCAGGCCAGCTTTTCCGATGAATCCAGCCGATTTCCTGCTTGATCTTGCAAACGGTACCTTTCCTCATCTCCTTCTTTTCATATCCTGCTGGCTGCTTGACTTTTGACTTCCTGAGTGTCTTCATTGAATTTGTTTTTATTATATCCAGCGTAAAGTCCAAACCTTAAATAACCATTGGCTCCCATGAAAATGACACACAAAATTTAGAGAGACACACAATATTAATTCAATACCCCATACATTATATATATACATATTTATTTAGATTAATACGAACTCGGCAAATAAAGGAATATAAAAACGAAAGAATAAATATGATTTTATATTAAAATAGTATGCGATCATCACTTTGGATATGATCTAAGGTCGCGAGCCATGTTGTCTGCTCGCCTTTATATTAATCAAAAATTGAAAATAACATATGATTCAAAAGTGTTGTCCCTTTTTTTTTTTTTTTTTTCTCTTATCTTGTTTAATCTAGTTTTCCTCTAATCCACATTATATATATATATATATATATATAG